ATTTTCGCGCCAGGAGTTCTTTCAAGTTCCACTAGATAGATCTCAGACCAGTACGGCCAGTGAGGTATTTTAGTGTAAACGTGGGCTCTAATGCACCGCCCCTCCATTCTACCCATTGTAGTCATTCTTTACCAATTAGAAGCAAAGAAAAACAAACATTGGGAAAGGAATACACTCCAAGCACAGATGATCCGTTTCGCCCGGTGTCCAAACCAAGCCGTGAGTTTCTTGCCTCAGCAAATCGTCCCCAAATCTCGAATCGGCTCCCGCCCAGGCCAATTAAAGACACATAGTACGCCCACACACATTGAGGGTGTATGTGACTAGCAGCCCCCAGCTGTCGAAGCATAGCGGTTTCCCCGTTCATGCGCAGGAATGGAGATACAGGACCGTGAAACACGCTAGTTCGTCCATGCTCCGCCCAATGCCTTTTGCGGCGCAGATTCCCGTCCGTCGTAAGCGCGCGTGTCGCGTGCGGCTCCTTGGCACTTTGCCAAGTCCTTTAATTGCGCTTTCAAATAGTAAAACGCAATTTCCTGATGCGGATAACATTGGAGGTGCTGCAAAATAAGAACAGAAGATGATGACGAGGGTCAGAACTTAAAAGCAACTGTGCCACTTCTGCAACATCCCTCGGAGGCCGCGTATTTCCACGAAACATGAAAATAAAACGGCATACTCGTTAGTTTGATACAAGCAAAACGCAATTTCCTGATGCGAATAAAATTTTAGGTGTTGCTCATGCTTCAAAATCCATGTACAAGGAGATGAAGATGACACAGGCTAGAAATGAAGCACAACGAAATGTAAATAAAACAAAAATGAAAAAATCAAGGAAAGGCAAATTAGATAAAATCGGCCTGTAAATTTCTACGATCCGGCGCCAAAGCCATAGAAATACTTAGAACAAACGAGTGGGACGCTTGGGTTGTTTTTATTCTCATGTTTTGTGGAATGCGCGGCCTCTGATGGATACTGCAGATGCAGCCGAGTTGCTCTTGAGTTCTGGCCCTTGTCATCATCTTCTGTTCTTATTTTGTAGCACCTCCAATGTTATCCGCATCAGGAAATTGCGTTTTACTTGTATTTGAGAGCGCAATTAAAGGACTTGGCAAAGTGCCAAGGAGCCGCACGCGACACGCGCGCTTACGACGGATGTTATGAAGGACGGGAATCTGCGCCGCAAAAAGGTGTAAGGCGGAGCATGGAGGAATTAGCGTGTTTCACGGTCCTGTATCTCCATTCCTGGGCATGTTTGGGCGGGGGGACCACGACACACAGCTGGGGCTGATAGTCTCATAAACCCTGAATGTGTTTGAGGCGTACCATGTGTCTTTAAGCCTTATATCATCCGGGAACGGTAAAGTGGTACGATTCATCTGGGAGGATAAAGGCATTGAATTGTACACAAGCTGGTCCCTCAAATCGTTGTGTAGACCATTATCGCACTCATTGAGCCACCACAGCTCTGAATGAAAGTAGAGTGCAAGCCGCACCCCAAAAAGGGGTTAATCAACGGCGAAGACTTTATCCCTTATCCTTCAACAACTCGCCACTTTCCTGATTGAAAGTGGAGGTGAGCTATTTGACGAGTGCTCATGACTAGAGCTGAGTAAAAGCTCCCAGAGATGTTTTCCAGTTGGACTGTTTCCGGTGCAAGGCACGAAAGCTTTCCGACTTTCCATGACTTTACATCTTTCATCTTTGATATTACTGGGCAGAATGTCGCTTCAGCAGCTCTTGAAGGTTGAAATCTTTCAAAACTAATGCAGATGGCGTTCTACGCCAACCGGATGCCCTCTAATTCCGCTCCTAAATCCTGATGAATGAAGCCATTAAAACTCTGAAATATCACCTCCCATTGTGGCTAATCTTTTCGCCAAACTCCTGCACGCCTTTATGGAGTATTCCTCGAAAATATTCTGATGAATTCTGCGATGTCATCACGGTTCAATCGTGCCCCCATTCGCTTTCTATGGGTCACAGGTAATGCAAAGATGGAATGAACGTGAAGCACCGGCTTCGTCATCTCGAAGAGTTCGCCATCCAGCTAGGTCGTCTAGAGGTGACCCGAAATTCAAATATTGAAAATTAATACTAGAAATTGAATTTTACGAAGCATTCCACAGATGCTTTCGTGTTTAGGGCACGGTCGCGATACTGCAGGATATCACCACGCCGCGGTGGTCGAAGTTGGAGCCATGGTGCTCCAGAATATGTTTAGGTAGGCGAATTTTCAAGATTTAATTTTAGCATTGACTCATTCATCTCTTTTTTTCTACCATTGTTTTTATTTTGTCAGAGCGAGTCAATAGCTCTAGGCTTTCTTAACAATAGGAATCGTTCAAAATTTAGTCGCGAAGGGGGAGGGGGGTTCAACTCCCCGAACATAAAAAACGCATGAGATCCGGGTGAAGACGATGCCTGTGCACTGAAACATCGTACTCACCAAAATCTTTAGAATAGTTTGATCAAGGAGAACACTACGTCGCTTTATCCCCATTACGAAAGCTAGGGCGATAGCGCTAAATGCGGCTTGTAGCCTTGGCATCTGTGGACCAGTTCCCGGGCGTTTCCGTGCCCAACGGATGTGATAGACGTATCACAGGGATCGGACCACTTTCACTTACAGAATCGTAGCGAACACTGTCATCGGGGAGATTCGCTGCAAAAAATCAGATTGCACACCCAGAACTGAAAAAATAAATTATAAAATGAAACAGATCCCAGAAAAGCTGAAAAAATGTCATTCTACACTTACTCACTTTATCAACTTTAGGTCTTGGCTTTTCCCCTGTTTTTCTTCTTTACCCTTTTTGCTGTTTAGTTTTACTATTTATTTAGTAATCAATCATTTTTCAGTGCACTTTCATTTCTTCACTATAGAAAAGACGATGATTTTGTGGACAGGCTTTCCTATTTCTACACTTCATCGTTTCTTATTATGATGGCTGTTCTGGTTAGCTTCAAACAGGTACTGATTTCACAAATTGACTTTGCACGAGTTTTTCTTCTTCAAAAGATCTTCGGGGCTCCCAGTTCCAGTTTATTTTTTGAAATATTCCTATTCGTGCCATAATTTTCACAAAGAGGCAATAATGTCCGATTGCCATTCGGGAATTTGCCATTCCGCAGGAACGCTAGAGAGCTATTACCATACTTCTCAGTGGCCTGCGGGACCCCACGGCTGGCTGCACTGCAACCATACATAGGAAGTGAGGGGTGGGACCTGAAGGTGAGCGGAATGCCCTAATGAAGAAGCTTGGAGCTCACTTAAACATGCATTTTTCATGAACCACTTTAATCAATCCATAAGGTATTTCCTATTAGTACCAATGCACTTGCCCTTACGTTCATTCCACTGCTGCAAGCATCTTGCAAGTTTAAGTGCTCTAAGCTGTTTCGTCATGTCACGAGTGCACTTTCCGCATGGGACGCTAGCTGCACGCTGCGGCGACCCTGAAGTAGCAGAATGCTTCTCAGCTAGTTGCCTTGACCCAGTGCAAAAGTCGGTGTTAGAAAAAGGTCACACGCGCTGCATTCGCACCAAGAGCTGGTTGATTTGATGAGGCAGTAGTTCGGCCTCCAACTTAAGGTAGGCCATGTATTCCACTTTCTACTTTGACTTCGGACTTGTAGGCACGGCCCCATCAATCCTTTTTAGAGGGCTTGAAATGTATTCTTGTAAGATTCCAACCGAAATAGAATGTACGGCCTATCTTCAAAGGTAGTGAACGTGATACTGCGTGGAGAGGGGGGGGGGGCGCTTGCTGCCATTTTCACTGGTGGAAGGACTGAGCGCGGTTTGTCCTCATGCCATCTCTCGGCCTTTCACCCAATGAAGCTGGCAACAACCGTCCGCCCCCAGCGATGGCGCCCACTTCCTTCGAGGGGAGGGCGATCTTGATCTGATGGTTAGACAGTCCAGATGGATGAGTGATTCCGACGTTGACATTAGTTGCCTCCCTTGCGTCACTCTGTTCTAAAAAAAGGTCTACGCGATTCCCAGTGAGGAGGCATGGCTGCGAGAACCGATCACTTAAACTCCTCTTTTCTTGGGCCTCAAAGTACAGCCATTCATTCAAGTTCCGCCACGGCAACATAGGAAATGCATTCAATCCCAGAAAAACCTCTTCCCATCTTGCAATTAATTATTTAGTTATTGATCGCCGTGTTGACTTTAGCCATATGGGAAGGGAACTTGCAAATTTCAGCTTGAAAGTAACGTCTCAGGGAAAAGAAAGCTGGAGTAATGAAGGGATTCCTCAGTATCGCCACCCCTCTCCCCTTGCAGAAGCCTTCCAGATAATTCTGTACCAAAGCGCCCATCACTCACCTGAGCCCAGCATTTGCGAATGAACTCTTTCCATTTCCTTCATTGTCCTTATTCGTTGTTATTGGCAAATGGCACCCCTAACCACATGTAGAGCCAAAGGGTTCCCGCTATTCCTGGGTCGAGTCTCGCTCAGGTCAGTCAAGTTCCCCAGGTTTGCCTAGTACACTGGATGAGACTCCCGACCCTACTCAACGTCTGGGCCAAAAAACCACCACGGCTGTGAGCGAATCACGATTAGCGAATCACGGCCTCGGTTCATCCCAGTGGGTATCCAACTGGACCCCCTGTCCGTTTCGCATTTCCTTTCTACTATATCTGCCGGCTGCCTGGATTGTGGCAAGATTGTGGCCCCCTCTTATACACTTTTCAAGCCTTGATTTGTTTTGTGAAATGCTGGTTTTGAGTTGGAACATATATCGCCCTCCCATCCCCCTCCCCTCCATTGTACCTGTCTCTCTTCTCAAAAATTGCCTCACACCCCGATGAAATGGGTTGGTTACCCTGTCCATCCGATTGGAAATACCGCTTTTCTGTAGGGTACAGGGTACTCAATTGTGGCGACACAGCTGATTGCGCGACTCCAAGATTAAATGTGTTTTGATTTTACACTTCAGGAGGGAGGCGTTCGCCAATTAGGAACCCTGCCTCACCAAATACTATGACAATGCACTCCCCCTTGTTACCTCTTTTTACTGAGAATCTTCATTTCCAGTTCGGTGGTCGTCCACTGGAATGTTGGGTTCCAGCGCAATTCACTGCAAGTTGGGAGGCCTACACGGAGATGTACTGCTGGGCACAGAATACGTATTGGGTTCCCATAGAGCAGGTAATTGGTGCTAGATGGATTGAGGCTGGGATCATCACATAAATGTAGAATATTTCAGGATATCCCGGTCGATATAGCAGAACGAGAATATCGCCAAATATCATACTATCAATGGGTTCCGTTCTTTCTATTGATTCAGGCCTTCCTCTACTATATTCCGTGCCTTATGTGGAGATTAATGAGTGACAAATCTGGTATAATTTCATTTGCTTGTATTATTATTTGTTATACTTTGGGATGAGGGAAGATCAGGGCGCGTCCTGCCGTCAACGTTTTGCAAATGCAACCCCCTCCCTCGAAATTTTCCTCTTCTACATCCCCCATCATAGCTATCCATTTCTCCAACTCCCTACCGAGTTATCCTCCCTGAACGATGGCGACGATCCTCCTCGGTGCGAATCCCAACACGACGTGCCCTGGGGATGACTCCTTATTTTCTGACTAGTCCTCTTGGCATACGCCATGACGACGGCTCTCATCCTTTTGCGGTAACCTTTTGTAAGACTCGGGCATAGCCTCAAGGAGAAGCTTCCCTCAGTACAAACCCTCCCCGCTATATTTTCTTTACCGAATTGCTGTACTACCGACTATATAGCTCGTCTAGGACGGGAAAACTGAAGGCAAGAAAAAAAAGACATTAGCCCGACTACTCTCTCTCCTCACCAAACAACTACAACCAGCTCCTTCCAAGTTTCACTTCCAGGCGTACTCTTGACCCTGTTTGAATATGCATCCCAAAAGACATTTGATCCGCGCTAATCTACCAACTGTTTTGAGTGCGAGTACGCTGGGACATCCAAAGACGTTCTGTGCAACTTCGGATTGACAAAGTGGAGAAGAGGGTTTTGCCGAGAGAAAGGGATCCGGGATAGCCAAACAAATTCCTTTGCGAAGATAAATTTTGCGTCGCGACAGTTTC